TACATCAAGGGTATATACCTTTGTGGGTGGAAACTTGATTTCATGGAAGAGTAAAAAACAAGCAGTTGTGGCTAGATCAAGTGTAGAGGCTGAATATAGATCCATGGCTCATGGTATCTCAGAACTACTTTGGGTTAGGTCCCTATTGAGTGAGATTAGGATAAAAGCAGAGGAACCTATGAAGTTATATTGTGACAACCAAGCTGCAACCAATATTGTCCATAATCCAATTCAACATGACAAGAGAAAACACATTGAAGTTGATAGGCACTTCATAAGAGAAAGGGTAACAACCGAAGAAGCTTGTTTGCCTTATGTCTCTTCATAATTGTAGTTGGCTGATGTCCTCACTAAAGGAGTTGCAAAGAATAAGCTTGAACATGATCTACACAAGTTGGGAATGTGTGACATTTACTCCCAACTTGAGGGGGAGTGTTGAGGATTTAATCCGAGTTTTGAGCAGATTTAGCAGTAATCTTTTATATGTTTATTGTTTAGATAGGAAGTGGGGGCCACAACACTCTTATTGGGCCCTTTGTTGATTGCATTTTAAGTGTTTTATGCAGTTTTAGATGCTTGCTGCCCTATAAGGGCATATTTGTCATTGTACTCACCAGATTATGAGCTCTCTTTTCTCTCTCAAACCTCTTCCTCTTCTTCTTCTTCTTCTCTCTTCTCTTCTTCAAGAAAACATCTTTTCCTTTACAGATTTTTTTTTTAATTCAGCAAGATTTCTACTATGATCTATATATGGAATTGACTAATTTCAAGCAAGAGAAGAAGTAACATGTTACATCAAAGAACTTGAAGTCAATGGGAAGAAGTTACAAAGTTGAAAAGAAAGTAGATGATTCCTTGCATGTTGATGGCTATCCTAGAGCAGAAGTTGGGGATGAAGCTAAAGAAGAAGAATTTCAAGATATAGAATTTGTAGATATTAAAAATTAAGAAGGTGCAAGCCAAGAAAAAACATAAATTTCTGGAGTTTCCAACACCCATGATCAGCTTGAGGTTAATGATCAAGAAGAAATAGAGGTGGAGCAAGTTAAAGAAATTCAGGTGCAAGATACAAATATGTTGATTGTAGTAGATCCTAGTAAGGAAGTAAGTGACTTTACCTTACAGTGTTTCAGAAATGCATTTCTTTCTAGATTCTTTTCTAGCTATGTGTATAGCCTCTATTCTATAGTCTAACCATGTAGTTGTGGGAAGTCCTACTCCTTTTGTCATTGGGGCATCAACTTTTCATCCTCAAGTTCTTCAAAACTTGAGGATGAGTTTTTTTGAACTGGGGGAGAGTGATGCAGGAGTTGAAGAGTTAAAATTGGAATTTTGTGAAAATTTATGTATTTCTGTATTTTTGGAACTGAGGGTATTTTTGCCATTTTACAATTTTCCTATGGGGTCCAATGATAGTGTTTAACTTGTCTATTTATAGTTTGTTTATGTTTCAAAGTCATTGCATAAGTAGGGTTAGAGTTATTAAGTCTTTTTTGAATTGAAATAGGATATGACAGCTTAGTTTGAGTCCCACTAGGATTATTGAGTCTACCAGTTTGATTCCTAGGACTATTATGAGTCTAACAATATGACTCCTAGGATTATTATGAGTTTAGAGTCTATGATGAATATGTATAGACGTTTTACACAAAGAGCAGTGAAATTTATTGAGTTTTCTTCAGCTTATGCTTATTATGGTGAGTGATTCTGGGAATTTTCTCTCTTCTTTCTATTCCTATTTTCTTTCTTGTTCCTTCAAGAAGCCATTAAATCCATCAACAGCTATAAATTTATGATAAAAAAAGACCATTCAACATTCTCCAAGGACTAGAATTGAGCTGATTCTACATCAATGATACAGTTGTGAAAAGGAATGATACCACTAGTATTGCTCAAGTGAAGCAATTTTTGGGAAAAGAATTTGAGAGTAAAGCCCTAACTGAGATACTTTCTAGCAATTGAAATGGTCAGATCTAAACATGAGATATTTATCTTTGAAGCCATCATCATCATCATACATTGCCTTATCCCAACTATATGGGGATATTTATCTTTCAAGTATGTTTTGGAATTGCTTAAGGAGACAAGGAAGCTTGTGGTCAAACCTGTGGTACTCCCTTTGATCCCAACCACAGTTTTTTTTTTTTTAAAAAAAAGGTGAAGTGTTGTATTGCATTATGCTATCAACCAAAAAAAAAATGGAAGATTTCAAAGGCTTGTTGAACGGCTATTACATTTGTGTACGACTTGTCCAGATATTTATACTGCTGTCAGTGTTATTAGCCAATATGTGCATTCTCCTAGTGATATTCATGTTCCTACAACAAAATGAATTCTTGCCCAAAGGGCAGACTAGACATGGTATTCTTTTCACAAATCATGGTCATATGAATATTGAGAGTTTTAGAAATGCAGACTGGGCCATGTCTATAGATGACAAGAAATCTACATCAGGTTATTATACTCTTGTGGCAGGTAAGACGATGACTTAGAGAAGTAAAAAGCAGTCAGTTATGGCTTGTTCTAGTGACGAAGCAGAGTACTGAGCCATGACACCTGGTGTTTCAGAGATATTTTGGGTCCCGTCTTTGATAGAGAAGCTTGGGATTTGATTATGATAGACCTATGATGTTGTACTATGAAAAGTCACCATCAACATAGCCCATAATCTGGTATAACATGAGAGGAAAAAAAAGAAACACATTGAAGTTGACAGACATTTTATCAAAGAGCAATGTGACCTCTAGAGAGGTTTGTCTTCCTTACATTGATACTGACAATCAGCAAGTTGATATCTTCACCAAGGACGTGCACAAGACAAAGTTTGATCAATGTATTAGAAAGCTAGGCATAATTAAACATTAGAGACTGGAACTCCTGAAAACAAAATCTGTGTGAACACTCTAAAAGCACAGCATCCAGCACATCGGTATCTCCCTTACATGAATGTTAAATGACTTAAATTCATGGGGAGATGTTCCCAATGTGAAACTGGATGTCATTCTCTCAGTGTTCACATAGTTTTTGCTTTCAGGAAATCTTCTCTAATCTTTATGCCCAGCTTCAGAGGGAGTGTTAAGAGATCAAAAAATTCTTTTTATTGTTTATTGGGCCTGATTTATCGTCCAATATTGAACTGTTTCTATCAGCTAATCATTGGGCCTTTACTTGATTATTAGTGAGCTTGGGCCTTTATATCTTGTTACTTATTGAGTTCTGTCCCAGCCAACTTATTGCAGAACAGTCGTTGTAATTACAGTTAGAGAAGTTATTATTAAAGTAAGTGGGATCTCATATTGAGATCCAAAATGGGGAGTGTTTTTCCTCTCTTTCTCTTTCTCTTTCTCTTTCTCCCCTTTTCCTTTTCCTCTACCTTGCTGAACATTTGTTCTTGATTTTCTGTGCATTTCTTTCTTATTTTTCTCTGATTATCTACTGCTAAAACATGAAGTGCTTGCTTATGAATTCTTCTTAATTTTCTACTAGTTTGCTTTCTGGAAAATCTGGTTGCATCACAATCTGAGTTAGGCCTTTCCAAGATCTCTGAACGAGTTGATTATAAATTAGTGGGTGAGAGGATTCACTGAAAAGGCTAGCTTTTCTGGTTTCCATTCCAGCTGTCATGATATGGACAATTTGGATGGGAAGAGAATGAGAGAAATATCTCAGTAAGATTAACATCAAAGAGTATAATGGGGCAAGTTCTGTTATGGGTCTTCATAAATAGAGCATATGAACATATTCATGCTCTGTTCAACATTGTTTTGAGGTTTAAGCTAGGCTCTCTCTTTCTGAAATTAACTAATAAATTGGGACTTTTCTAACTTCAAATGTAATGTTGTAGAAATAGTACCTCTAGATGCCAACTCTGAGAAGAACCAGTGTTTTAAAAGCGCAAGGCGCAAAAAAGGCACAGGGGTCAATTTGCGCCTGAGGCGCAAGGTACAAGGCGAGGCGTGCACCTTTTTAAGCAAGGCACAAAAAATAAAAAAAATGTCAAAACATTCAAAAAATGCAAAAATAAATCAAAAAATTATTAAACATAATATTAATAAAAATATAAACTTAAATTTTAAAACAAATATTTTTAAAAACCTATTATCTAAAATTAAAATACATAAATATAACATGTAAAGCATATTAAAATGAGAATTTAAAAATAATGTGATGTAAAACATATTACATTCTTGATTCTACGAGCCGCCTTTGTGCCACGCCCCTCGAGGCAAGCCCAAACAGGTCCACGTTGGGTCTTAAATTCTTAGTTCTCACACAAAAAATAATGATTTTATAGTTTTAATTGCTAGGAAGATATTTTATAAGGATGAATGAATGAACAACATTAACAAATAAGGGGTTCTCGAAGCTTCAGTGAGCGAGCAAACAAATTGTCAAAAGGTGTCAAATTTTCAAAATTTGACACAAAAAAGCAATAAAGCGTCAAATTTTCGAAAGGCACACACCTGGGCTGAGGCGCAAGGCGCACCAAGCGCACGCCTAGGCACACCAGGCATGCGCCTTTTAAAAGGGCTGCACCTAGGACCTGGGCGAGGTGCCTACCCTAAAATGTGCCTAGGTGCGCCTGAGGCACGCCTTTTAAATCACTGAGAAGAACAGGTGCTGTTTCTTAGGTTATTTTTATCTTCCTTTTTTTCCTTATCTTATGGGTCCATCCTGCATCAGTGTGGCACCAGAGAAGCTGATCCTGCAGAACCTGGACTATTCTATCTTCCATTACTTTATCATCTTCAAGAGGCAATGGATAGAATGACTTTTCATTCATGAATCACTCAAGTCCAGGGTATCAAGATGCCACCTATTGAGAAAAATTCTTCTTTTACTTTATTTCTGTTTTCCTCCCTGCTTTTTCAATTCTTTTCTAAGATGATCCCATTGAAGCAAGGATGTTAATTTATGGTACCCACTTCCAAATCAAGTATATTTAACAGGAGAAAGAACAGAACTTGCAATGGAAAACAAGAACCAGAAATGAAACAGACCTAGGCCTGCTGCTTGAAACAGTAGATTGTTTTGTAATATTTTCCATCTTTTTTGGCCTTGGATTGGACTGAGCAGTGGACAAGGAAGCAGTATGCATCTGCTGACACAAATAGATAAAACAGTGTGATGGATTCCTTCAAGGGAAAGTCTCAGAACTGTTCTGAAATAACTGTACTACTAATACCTTCAAGGGATCTGGATCCAGGGCTGGAACTGGAGCTTCACAAATGCATAAAGGCATCCCACATTTACACTCTGAGCTATCAACCACAGGTTGCAGACTTACAACAGAGTGATCCTTTGCATCAGCACCTGTAATATCAACTCTTGAAACCATATCTGTTGCTGCATCAATAATGTTTGAAGAAGCCTGCGGATCATCTTTCCCAGATCTAAAGGGCACCAAAATAATATCCATGGAAGATAATAACAATGGTCAGAGAGGTGCAGCAGAATCTCAAATATTGACACTAAATGTAGTTATGCATGCACATCCAAACGACCGTATATATACATCTTTCTTGCACATCTTCTGTAACATGTTTTGTTTGTTTGGGGGAGGCAATGGGCATCTCTATGTAGATGAAATTTCAATAGAATTAAACAAATTAAACATAAGATAACCTAAATAGGAAGCAAACTAATCAGGTATTGCTACGTTATACTACCTTATCATAAAGCTTTTTTTGGAGGAGGATTTTGTTCAATTAATCAAGGAATTCTGTGACACAAATGAGCTGGACAAAAGGCTGAATGCCACCTTTATCTCTTTGATTCAAAAGAAGGATGTGGATGTGAATATTAAAGATTTCAGACCAATCAGCTTACTAAGCAGCCCTTATAAGCTTCTGGCTAAGGGTGCTTTCACGGAAACTGAAATAAGTTGTGCACATGAAGTGGTGGGTGAAACCCACATGGCCTTTGTAGAAGGGAGGCAAATTTTAGATGGAGTGCTGGTGGCTAGTGAATGTATTGACTCTAGGCTGAGAAGCGGGAGGCCAGGTCTGGTTTCTAAGATTGACATCGAGAAGGCGTATGACCATGTGGAATGGAGTTTCCTGGAGGAGGTGCAGCCCTTGATGGGATTTGGGGAGAAGTGGAGGAGCTGGGTGTATGCTTGTGTATCTTCAGTGTCCTTTTCTATGCTTCTTAATGAAGTTTCTTCAAATTTGTTTCAGGCATCTAGAGACTTGCAGCAGGGAGATCCAATCTCCCCTTTTCTTTTTGTCTTGGTTATGGAGGTGCTTAACTTACTTGTGGTGAAGGGTGTTCAACTGGGATAGATTGAAGGATTTATTGTAGGTTTGGAGGGGCCCTACATCTCCCATTTGCAGTATGCAGATGACACTTTTTTTAGATGCCTCAGTGAACCAGGTCCTGAGTTTAAGAGCCATTCTGGCAAACTTTGAGAGTTGAACAGGTCTGAAAATTAATCTTTCCAAGAGTCTTCTTATTGGAGTGGGGGGAGTGGAGAGGGAGGTGCTGGATCAGTGTGTTGCAGTGTTGGAATGCCGGTTAGAGGAGTTACCTTTCAACTATTTGGGTCTCCCGGTGGGGACCAAGATTTCTGAAGTAGAGGTATGGAGGCCGGTGATAGTAAGGGTGGAGAAGACTAGAGAAGTGGAAAGCAAAATACCTGTCTTTTTGGGGCAGAATAACTCTTATAAGGAATGTTCTTTCAAGCCTACAAACATATTATTTGTCACTCTTAAAGATTCCAAGGAAGGTGGCTGAAAGGATTGAAAAACTTGAGGGAGATTTCCTTTGGGAAGGAGTAGGGGGTCAAAAGAAGTTTCATTTGGTGAATTGGGATAAGGTTTGCAGACCAAAAGGGAAAGGGGAACTGGGGTTTAGAGGGGTGAGGTTGTTTAATAGGGCTCTTTTGGGTAAGTGGCTATGGAGGTTTGGGCTGGATAGAGAAAAGGATTCTTTATGGAGGAAGGTGGTAGCCGGGAAATATGGGGTAGTGAGGTTTGGTTGGGAATCAAGGGAAGCCTTGAATTCCTATGGGGTGAGTGTGTGGAAGGGGATAATGAATTTTAATAAAGAGTTCAAAGCTTTGGTCAGTTTTAAGGTGGGGGAGGGGTCAAGAGTGAGATTTTGGGAAGATGAATGGTGTGGGGTTGGGAAGCTGAGGGAGGTTTGTCCAAGATTTTACAGGCTCTCTGATCAGAAGGTGAGAGTGGATCAATGCTTTGAGATGAGGGGAGACCAATTGGGGTGGAGCCCAAAGTTTAGAAGGCCATTGAGAGGTCAGGAAATTGAGGAATGTCTACTACTGTTAGAAAATCTGCAACAGGTTGACATTTCTACTGCTGATAGAAACGGACTGTGGTGGAAAGAATGCAAAAATGAAATTTTCACTGTGAAATCCTTTTACATGGTACTGATAAAGGAGAAGTTGGCTGCGGGTCAGGTGGAAGGAGTGTGGGGGAATCCTATCCCCCTAGAGTGGAAGCTTTTGCATGGTTAGTGTCACAGGACAGTATTTTAACTTCAGACCACCTGAAGAATAGAGGTTTCTACATGGCAAGGTTTTGTTATTGTTAGAGCTAGCCGAATAAGGATAGATTAGTCATTTTACTTCTGTTAAGTTATGTGCTTATGTGGCAGTTTTAATAGAGACTTCCTGTCCCATACTTAAGTGGGGGGGGGCAGTTTAGTCTTTGTACAACTAATTAGAGGTTAATTCATATTAGGGTCGACTGATAGGGTTTAAGCTATCAGATTCAACTGTTCTTCTTCTTCTTCTTCTTTCTCCCTTACTCTCTACTGGTTCGAATTACTTAAACACAGCTGTCAAAACATGGTATCAGAGCCATAAATGAAGGAGAAGAAGGCTGTGATTTCAAGTTCTCTCCTTTTTTCTTCTTCTCTGGGCTGCGAATCTGAGGTACACAATCTGATAGCTGCGGCATCTGTTATTTATTTTTTTTAGGACTGCCGCAATCCCTATTACAAGTATTAGGAAGGTGCGGCAGCCCTAGGATATCAGCCTAATACTGCTGTCACCATGTGTGCCAGCCCTAGTCGTGTGGTGGCGCTTGTGGTGTTTACCCTCTACTGAACAATTTCAAGAGGGTTTGTGTGTTGTTGCTCGAGTTGTTGCATTGCTGTCATGGTGACTACTATTTCTGGGTTGTTAGTAGTGGTGTGAACAGAAATTTTTTGTGTGTGGTTGCTCGAG